GTGCAAGCCCATTCCACCCCCGCACCCTGAGGCCCCCCCAGCAAACCCCAACAACCACAGAGCACCCCGCTGGCCCCCAGCACTGCTGGAGGTAAGTGGGGCCCATGGTGGGAGGGACATAGCCCAGCTGTGGGGCAGCTGAGTGGAGCTGAGGAGGGCCTCGCCCCGCCCTGGCTCCTACTTTGCCCAGCCCCTCAGGGACCCGCATGACCAGAGCCTTGCGAACAGGACGCACAAACAGGTGCGCTTCTGGGCCCAGTGTATGAGTTAGTGTGGGAGTTCACGCAGGAGGGTGAGCAGGAGTGCCCGAGGCCCGGCCAGCAATCTCCATAGGGCAGGCAGTCCCAGCCGCAGCCGGCCTACCAGTGGCATCATGCTGATGGGCACACGCTGCAACACGATGGGTTGCCTCGGGGTCTGCAGCCCACCCCCTCGGCTCCTCAGAGGCCTCCCCCCAGACGGAGCCCATGGCTCCAAGCTCCATACAAACGGAACCTCTGGCTCTCGGCTGCAGGGGCTGCCTGACACCTTTTCAAGCTCTGGGGTCCAGGAGCATGGCCACCTCCCCTTGTGAGGTCTTCTCCCTTTTGGGGTCTCTGGCGCGCCAGGTGGAGGAGCTCCAGGCCACAATCCAGAGACTGAATGCCATCAGGGATGATGAGTGGGAGATAGACTCCTACTACCAGGCCCTTCTCCCCCTGCAGGCAGAGGGTAGACCAAGGTCTACTTCCAGGACAAGGGAGGACTCAGGGACCTCCCATTCTGTCCAGCCAAGGTGTTGAACCAAGGTGGTCAAGGGCCGCAAGGCCCGCTGCACCAAGGTTCTCGCCCCGCTGGAGCTCTGCAACAGGTATGAACCTCTTGCAACCCCAGCAGAGCCTGCTAAGTTGCCAGCTCCTGCAGGCAACACAGGCTCAGCTGTAGCTACTGCCCCCACTCTCCCTAAGACAAAATGCAAAGTATTTGTTGTGGGAGACTCCATCCTGAGGGGGACTGAGGAGGCAATCTGCCACCCCGATCCCTTAGCCTGGGAAGTCTGCTGCTTCCTGGGAGTCCGAATCCGAGACATTGGGGAGAAGATCCCTGAGCTCCTCCAGCCTACTGACCACTACCCTATGTTCCTTATCCATGTGGGCACAAATGACACAGCTCAGAGCGTTCCCAGCCAGGTCATGAAGCACTACAGGGATTTGGGAGCAGGGCTTAAGGGGTTGGGGGCACAGGTGGTGTTTTCATCGATCCTCCCAGCTTTGGGCTATGGGCTGAGGAGAGAGAGCAGAATCAAGGTAGTGAACCAAAGACTGTGGCGCTGGTGTCATCAGGAAGGCTTTGGCTTCCGTGACCACGGTACGCTCTTTGGTGAGAGAGGCAGTGAGCTGATGGGAAGGGATGGCTTCCACCTCTTTCCGCTAGGGAGGAGGCTCTTCTCAGCCCGACCGGCTGACCTGCTCCACCAGGTTTTAAACTAAGCTGGCCGGGGAATGGGAGGGACCACTGCCACTGCTGGCCTGCTGAGCAACCCTTGCAAAGCCAGCAAGCCAAGGAACTTAAGGGAGCCCACCCCTACCCCAACCCTGGAGCAAGCTGTAGGCAAGGCAAAGGCCCCCATTGGGACACTTGTGCGCCTGTACACAAATGCCAGGAGCTTGGGGAACAGGAGGAACTTGTCCTCCTGCTTAACACAAATAATTACGATGTCAAAGAGATAACGGAGACCTGGTGGGACTCCATCCATGACTGGGCCACAGGTATAGATGGCTATAACCTGTACAGGAGGTATTGAGTGGACAAAAAGGGTGGAGGTGTAGTTCTCTATGTCAAGGAAAGCTAGGTGTCCCTGCAAGCCGACATTGGCACCCAGGGTGGACTGGAGACCCTCTGGGTTAAAATCTGTGGGGAACACGGCACAGGGGACACAATGGTGGGAGTCTACTACAGACCTCCTGCCCAGGATCAAGAGCTTGACCAGGAGTTTGCTAGGGAATTGATTGAGGCCGCACGCTCCCGGTGTATGGTTGCCATGGGAGACTTCAACTGCCCAGACATCTCATGGGAAGAGCGCTCGGCCAAATCCGAGAAGTTTCAAAGCTTTCTCTCATGCGTGGATGAGTTCTATCTGACACAAAAAGTCTATGGGCTGATGAGAGGTAAAGCGCTGCTCGACCTGGTTCTGGCAACAGGGGATGACCTAATCAGTGTCCTATCGAAGGGAAGCTGGGTGACAGTGACCATGAGCTGATCACGTTCACAATCAGCTGTAAAGCTGACAAGTCAGTCAGTAATACAGAAGTCCTTGATTTCAGGAAAGCTGACTTTGGCAAGCTCAGGAGGCTTGTCAGTGAGGCTGAAGCAAAGTCTATTCCATCTAGGAGGAAAGGCAACAAAAGAGCACAGCAGCCCCCTTGGCTCTCCAGGGAACTATCAGACCTCCTGCGTCTAAAAAGAAAGACCTACAAAGGATGGAGGACTGGATCCACCTCCAAGGAGGAATATTCTACACTGGTCCGGACCTGGATGGAACAAACCAGGAAAGCCAAGGCTGCAACGGAACTCTAACTAGCTTAGAGAATCGTATGGAAGTAGGGCTGGAAGAGACCTCTAGAGGTCATCTAGTCCAACCCCCTGGCTGAGGCAGGATCATCCCTATCCAAACCATACAGTGAAAACTGTAATCTGAACTCTACATAAGCCTACCATCAACCCTGACACAACACAAACATAACACCCTAACCTGCCACAGGTGAAGGAGAGGAACCACGGCAGTCAACATCCTGCTTTTATGAAATGTTGTCAAAATATGCTCAAGAAATCCCTGGTAGAGGGCCACACCCTACACTATAGAGGAAGACAAAAATCCCCACAGTCCATACCAACCTGACCAAGGTGTAAAATTTCTTCCTGACCCCCAATATGGTGATCAGTTTGACCCTAAGTGGAGAAGCAAGACCCTCTAGCCAGGAACCTTTGTATTTGGTCCCAGCAGGAGTATTGGCATATTCTAGTTGCAGTCTTAGCCTTGGCTGTAGCCCAATGCCCCTAGGAAAGCTTAACAATATCTTGACACATGTAGCAGAATAGGGAGGAAGTGGGGCATGGCAATGAGCAAAGCCCAGAAATATGGGAAATATCCATGGTAGAAAATAGGCAAAGTTATGCCTAGATCAAAACTGACTAACTGCGGCCTTGGCCTCACCATGATCCACTGGCTGGGGAATTGGCTCCATGGTAAGACCAAGAGGGCGGTGGTTGATGTAAGTCAATCATTGTGGTGCCCTGAGACCAGTGGGGTCCTTCAAGGCTCTGTCCTTGGGCCTACACTACTCATCATCTTCATTAATGATGTGAACATTGATCTCAGAAGCAGACTGGCCAATTTCGCCGACACCAAACTCTGGGGTAAAGCATCCACACCTGACGACAACAGGGTGATCCAAGCTGACCTTGACAGGCTCAGGAAATGGGCAGATGAGAACCTGATGGTGTTTAACACCAAAAAATGCAAGGTTCTCCACCTTGGGAGGAAAAACCTGCAGCATGCTTATAGGCTCAGCAGTGCTACGCTGGCTAGCACTACAGACGAAAGGAACTTGGGGGTCATGATTGACCACAAGATGAACATGAGCCTTCAATGTGATGCTGCAGCTAGTAAAGCAACCAAAACACTGGCTTGCATCCATAGATGCTTCTCAAGTAAATCCCAGGATGTCCTTCTCTCATTGCACTCGGCCCTGGTGAGGCCACAGCTGGAGTACTGCGTCCAGTTTTGGGCTCCACAAGCTTGAGAGAGTGCAGAGGATAGCCACACGCATGATCAAGAGTCAGGAAAACGGCCCTTATGAGAGGCCGAGAGCCATGGGACTCTTCAGCCTGGAAAAGCGCAGGCTCAGGTGTGATCTGGTGGCCACCTATAAGTTTATCACGGGTGTTCACCAGGATCTGGGGGAACATCTGTTCACCAGAGCGCCCTAAGGGATGGCAAGGTCGAACGGTCACAAACTTCTCCATGACCATTTCAGGCTGGACATAAGGAAGAACTTCTTTACTGTCCGAGCCCCCAAGGTTTGGAATAGACTGCCACTGGAGGTGGTTCAAGAACCTACTTTGAATGCCTTCAAGAGACAATTGGATGTTTAACATGCTGGGATCCTATGATCCCTGCTGACTTCCTGCCCCTGGGGTAGGGGGCTGGACTCGATCTTCTGAGGTCCCTTCCAGCCCTAATGTCTATGAAATCTATAAAATCTACGTGCTGTATGAGAGGGCGCCACTGAGGGTCACACTCCACTGCATTTTATCCCTTTCTGGCAGACTTGTGTGATACTCCAGAATCATCTTGGCTGCCCAATCCGGAGGTTGCTGCCCCACGTGGGTTTTGAGTACTACATGCCAGCTATTAGTCCCAGGGGTCTCTGCCTGCTGGTACCTGAAGTTTTGGGTGTCCACCCTTGACTTATTGACTTAATGGCTGCATTGTCATCGGTTACAGGAATAGTCAATAGAGTGGGTGTTTAGTTTCAGGAATCAGTTCCTTGGCTTGATTAGCTTAAAATGGCTTGTAGAGTAGGGTTTTGTAATGGTAAGTTCCTCTGGCTAGGCTATTGTCAATTAACAGCCAGAGGTACTTGGTTTGTCATTCATACTCACATTCATTCAGGAGAACGCCCGATATAGCAGATTTTATCACTTTACAATTACAATTTCAATGCAGGTTTTAACAATGGTCCAGGGTGTAACTCCATTCTATGTGGCTGCATAATTAAGGTCCAGCTTTATTTCTGAAATAGGATGGTAAATAGGATAGTAGCATGCAGATCCTTAATGCTTACTTTGAGGTAACATTGGAATCTAGTATAAGAACCATAAACCAAACTGGCTCCTGTTCGCAGCCTTTTCACATGATTTATATTATATTGTGAACTTGAGAGTTTGAAGTGGGAATTATTGCCAATATCTGTTCCCTTATGATTGGATGAAAGAATAACAGTCATATGAAAGGCTGAGAACCAGTTTTATTGTAAATTCAAGGTATTTTATAAGATATAGTGATAGGTGCAATGTATTTTGCAGGTTTATACAATATAAAATTATCCTCCATGAGACTTTTTTGCATTAGTTATAACACAAATACAATCAGATACAGAACTGGTATGGTATATGGCATTAGAAAAAGTAAAAGTGCAGCAAAATAATGCCTGTGTAACTAAACTTTGGATGTAGATAATAACACACTTACTTACTCGAGAGTTATTTTGACTTTATCTCTAGGACAAAAGTAGAGCAGATACACAATGTGTCCATGTGCAGCTTTACATTGATCGCTCAACTCTGGGGTAAAATTATCCTTCAGAAAACAAGTATCCATACACCTGTGTACAGATTATGGGTCCATCATTCTAGTCAATTTTGTCCAGGGGTATCCTTTTGCTTTGTGCAAACAGGCTATTGTAGGCTGCCTCTCATCCAGTGTCAAGGTACTGTAGTAGCAGCTACTGCAGGTACGTACCTCCAGAGACTCGGTCATGTGTCTGTTGCAGACACCAGTGTAATTTTATTCAGGAGTAATATCCAAGACAAGTTCTCCCAAGGTAAACATGCTGCATATCTACACCATACTCCAACCTACTTTCATCTATATCTCTCTCCATCAGTAGATATACTAGAACATGGGTGCCACAAGTAGCACAGGCAGTCTTTTTGTGTGGCACACAGCAGATTAGGGAGGGAGCAGAAAACAGAGCAGCAGCTCTGACAGGGAGCACAGGGCAGGGGCAGAAAACAGAGTAGCAGATCAGGCAGGAGAAGGGGATTGGAGTGGCACTCTGGAAGGGTGTAAGGCTTAAATTCTGGCATGCTTGTCAAAAAGGTTGGTGCCCATTGGACTACAATGTTTGGTGTTTGATCTTTTGCAGGTACTAAACATCAGCAGGCCTGTGTAGGTCTGTTGATGCCCAGCACTCCTGACAATTAAAATGAGTGGCACAAATAAACTGAGTTAACTAAAACACCCACTTGATTACATTATATTAACTGCCTAGTCTTACTAGAAGTATATAATTGGCTAAATGGCTTCATCTTCAATGTATAATAGGGGCTTCAAGCCAACTTGCAATCTGATATATTGCAGTATCCTTACCAAAGCTGTAAACCAAAGTCCCGTTATACTTTTATTATGCTAAGTTGGCACCAAAATACTAAACTCCTTGGATAATTCTATTAGTGTCCAATAAACATCTCTTCCTTACTAGGAACTGTTTTGGGACACAACACCTTTAGGTCCTCTGAGTTTCTGGAGTGTTTTGTTCAAAACTGGATCAGGAACTGGCAGGAACTAATTTATGTGCTATTGATAATGTATGGAAAATTACGATGTATGAAATACTGTATTAGTCAATTTCTGGTAAACAAGTGGCCTATAAACATTGGAATATTAGGCAGGCATACTGAGCTCATTCTGTGAAATATCAGCACCAAAATCAGACCAGACAATGGATAATGTAGTATACCTATACTGCTGCTATTTGATTATGTTCTTAACTGTTAAAATCAACAAATTAAATGAGTCTGGTTTGCCTGGTCTTCTGAAATATTTTTTTAAAGAAAAAGTCAGGAGTAGGTTCTTCAGGACTGTAAAAGGGAATAAATGCACTACTGAAGTATTCAAAATTTAGCCTATATCATCTCAATCATCTACTCAGGCTACTTATATATGGATGGGGTGCGGGAAAATCACATCTGAATCCACAAGGCTAAATCTTGTTTTACAGCTGACTTTATGTTGCCACGCAACCAGGGTGGGAGGCAGGGAACAACTAGCACAGATACACCCAACTTTCAGTTGACCACATCACAGGAGAAGCAGTCGGGGAATTTTTTTTTAAGTCCCAGAAGAAATTAAGAATGACACCTGCCCCTTTCCTTCCCTGCCCACTGCTGCTGTTGTCTCCAGCTGCCCCAGGGGCAAAGGTGAGGGAGGGGCAGAAAGCAACTTCAAAGCTGCTCTGGACAATCCAACTCGGTTCTGGGAGGAGCCAGGCTCACTCAGGGACAGAGGGAGCAGCAGCTGGACTTTCTCCTCGCTGCCCAGTCCTCCTGGTTGCTCCTTGTCAGCCCAGGAGCAAGTGTGGGGGAAAGGAACCTGCCCACTACTGCTACTGTCTCCAACCAACATTGGTTTCATGTATAGCCTGGCTCCAGTGGGGCAGAAGCGACTGAAGCCCCTTGTCCCTGGCTCAGCTGGAGACAGCACCAGTGGCATCAGTGGGTAGGGGAAGGAGGGAATGCAAGGGAAGGCAAGAGAACATGCAGCTAATCACGGAAAGGAAGGAAGGGGAGCCTTCTTACCTGCTTGAAGGACTTTAGAAAAGTCCCTGCTGCTGCTTCTGCAGCTCAGCCTGTCTGCAACAAGGCTGGATGCTGGGAGCTGGGGTGAAACTAACCCTGTAGTGCACGTCACTGCTCCTGTATCCCCTTTCAGACAACTTTCTGAAATCCTGGATCCACCCATACACACAACTAAGCATGCTTTGTGTTAAGCTGATGATGTACTTTATATCAGTGGCGGGAGATGTTTGTGACAGATGCTTATTTCCCTATTACAGAATACCCTAATATTTTACTGCAGTATTTTCCTGTTAGGCCAACTTAATAAAAGATATCAGATTCACCCAAAGAACCTTGTCTGTGTATGTCCTTAGACCAGCACAGCTACAACCTACACCAATGTAACTTTAAGGCACTTTGACTTACAAAACAATCATTAACATGTGAAGGCAATCTAGACACAATACTGGCTTTATCTTTTTGTGTAACATTATAACCCTCTTTTTAAAAAGTTTTGTAAAAGATAAGCTACTGAAGCATTCTTAGCTAAGTTCCCTAAAAAGTGTGCCCAAGGCTGGCCCTCTCCCATGTACAATTCTAGGGCCTACTTTATCTGGGCCTTTTAGCACTTAGCTGATTATGGAAGGAATACATAACCCACTCTATCTGTCACAGGCTTTGACTCATTTAAGGCTCTGCACACTGGGAATTGTAGTCTGCAGCTTGGGCATGTGATTTAGGAGTACGCAAGGCTGCAGGGGACAGGGAAGCAGGTTGTCTTTGTCTGCCCTCATTGCTGTGACTAAGAAAGCCTAAAGTTTGGGAAGTCCTGGTTGGGAGAGGTGAAGGGATGGTGATTTAAAACCTCTGAAGGAAAAGAGAGAGCAAAAAAGCATACAGGCACAAACCCATGCATGCTAGAGAAGGGGATGCTTTCCTCTCTCAATCTTGTTGGAGGCAGGGCTCTGTGCATGTAGGTAAGGCCCAGCAATGGGCAAATGACTGACAAGAAGCTCTTACACACAGGGCTGAAGGACTCTGCACTTTCTGAGAAAATGAGCCAACAAATTGCATTGAATTCCTAGAATCCTTTAGGAAAAGGCACTGCCAAGTAACACCCACAGCTTACAGGGTTTGGGACAGCAGCCCAAGGAGGACAGAAAAGGTTGCTTTGTTCTTGTGTTGGAAGACAGAGCTCTGACAGAGCTTTGCCTTTACTCATATTCCTAGCTAGCAGGGGAGGAAATTCAGTCACCCCCTGAACTCCCCATTGGGGTCTGCCTGAGAATGCTCCAATAGGCCCAGTTTGTGACTTTGCTGTTGGCCTCTGCCTATTCAGTCAGTCTGTACATTGGAACCATGGCCCTATTCTCACTGTGCTGCTCTGCTTTTATGACCCCAAATCTGCTGCTGTCAGGTGAGTTCCACTGTTGGAATATAGGAAGAGGCAAGGTCAATGATTTCTTCCTGCCCACCAATTAACAAAGCAAATCCTGGTCCGGTGCTTGTCTTTTACAAAAATAGCAGGAGTCAAATTGTCGGTGTTCTTGCTGTTTGGGATAATGTTGTCTTCAAGCTGCATCAGCGACAGTAGCTGACAATACTGCCTTCCAACATGCTTCATCATGTCACTGCTGTCTTCCCACATAAATTAAGGTGAAGTTTTGTTTTGGGGAGGTTGTAGTTGGCAGCAACCTATGCTGCTCTACCACATGCTGCAGGCAGACTCATAGCTTTCTCTTCTTTTTCATTCAGGAGCTTCAGTGTACTTCACAGGAATGGAGAAAAGGCCTGGCTTGCCCCAGTAGTCAACAGCACGCACTCGGTAAAAGCCTGAAACTATGCTTCCTACAAATGAGGAGATCAAACATGATTACTGCAAAAGACAGCCATATGCTAGAAAAGCCACTGTCCCTGTAAAGCAGGGGTTTCAAACTCACCTGGCCCTGTGGACTGGATGAGCAGTGCAAGGCCAGTCCACAGGGAGGATTGGACCCACAGAATGGCTCTGCATGTCTGTCCTGGAGGGGCTGGAGTGGTTGCTGTGTGTAGTGTGGATGTGTTCCAGCTGCCTGGGGCTATGCTGCATGCAGCTGCTGCTCTGCTGCTCTGGGGTGTGTGCTGGGGCCGACCAGAGTGCCCAACATGTTGCCTGTGGGTCAACCCTGAGACCCACAGGCAACAATGGGGGCCAGATGATAGGGCTCTGTGGGCCAGATCTGGCTCTAAGGCTGTACATTTGACACCCTTGCTGTAAAGCATACATTTGTGGAAAACAGTAGTTCTAGTAGGAATTTTTATCTCTTAGGTATCACATTTGTACCCGGCAGCCACCTACAAAAGAGAATCTGGAGGAAATTAAGTGTTGACTTATTCACTGGTACTTGTTGCATATCCAGCATATGCCTTGTCCTTTTCTGGACACTGAAGTATGGCTATAGTGTTAATATAAAAGCTGTGTCTATAACAGCAACTGATTTAGCCAAAGCCACCATGGTTTCCTTTACTATTGCTTATACTTCAATTTGACAATATCAGATTTGATTTAATGGTGTACTGACTAAGAGATACTGAGCATTCACAGCAGGTAAATCTGAAGGAGTGGTACAATGCCCCTGTATGCTTGCAAAGTTTACAGGTTGGTTTTAAGATCCAACAGAATTTATATGTTTCTTGAAGTAGCAGCCTCATGCCAGAGATACTTGAGATGCAGGTGTGCTATTCTGTAACTCCTGAACTGCACTGGATTGTAGACCTGCCCTTGTTTAGGTCACTTTTGAACTTCATTCATTAGCAAGGAATTTACACCTCACAAATGAAATAGTTATGGGTTTTCTTAAAATAAAGTAGGAAATGTAATTGCCTATACTTGACAATAACTCAAGAAGTATTCTGTCCTGCTGGTTAGATGTATTTTATTCTTAGCAAAATGCATAGCTTAATGTATTAAGATACATGTCCTATGCCACCATATGACTTTGCATTCTGCCCTTGGAGTCTTGACTGAGCCATGACCTGAGTTTGTGCTTACCTGTTCAGCTTTATCAATGCTCTACTGGTCTTTTGAATTTAAAAAGAGAACCTGACTTCAGCCTGTTATATCAGAAAATGTTCACAGTCAAGGCAAACCTTTGTTTCCAGTAAACTGCCCTCTGAACTGTACCTTGGAGTATTTCACTCAGAATACAACTTTTATCTCTAATCAGATTATATATGTATAATCTAATCAGTGTTTATTACTGTAATCAATGCCATCAAACTGCCAAATAACTTGGGTTAAAGCTTTTTATATTTTAGAATACTACCCCACAACATTCTTTCTTCTAAGCCAGTTTCTATAATCTTTTGCCCATACTTAAAAAAAATACTCATTGATTTCCATGGAACTTTTGCCTGAATTAGGAGGAGGTCATCCTACTGTCAGTAGAGTGCTACATGGCCATAGGCAAATGGAGGCTGTGTGGTATTCAAGCCTATGAAATTATCAGCAGCAAAGGCAGAAACATAGAAAAGTAGGGCTAGAAGGGACGTCAAGAGGTTAACTAGTCCAAATCCCCAGCCACAGGCAGAATCATCCTTATCCAAACCATCCCATCAAAATCAGCAAATCCCAGAAGCATGGAAATACTCATAGTAGAGCCTAGGCATAGCTACTCCTACATCATCCCTGACCAAGACTCATCTAACCTCTTGTTGACCACCTTCAATGATGGAAATTTCACAACTTCCCACAGCACCTAGACAGCCTATTCTATTGCCTCACTGTTTTAACAGTGAAGTTTTTATTGATGTCCAATCTAAACCTACTTTGCTGCAACTTTAAGCCATTAGTCCATGTTCTGCTCTCTGGTATTTTCCCTCTTCTTTAGGGCAGCCCTTCCTATATTTGAAGACTTCTATCAAAGTGTCATTTCTGCAAGTTAAAGAAGCCTATTTCCTTCAGCCTCTCATCATATGACTTGCCTTTCAAGACCTTTCATTTTTGTCACCCACTGCGGGACCCTAACTTCTCCATGGCCAGGAGAGCAGTCTGTTCTTTAAGAAGGCCCTTTCAAGGATGTAGGATTTAGCTATCCCAATGCAACAGAAGAATAGGAAGCGCAACAGGAGGCCAGCCTGGCTAGACAGTCATTTCTTCAATGAACTGAAACCCAAAAAGGAATCCTACAAAAAGTAGAAAATCAGTCATAGTACTGGGAAAGAGTATAAGAATATCACACAGGCATGTACAGAGAAAATTAGGGCAGCCAAGGAATTATTTGAGATGCAACTGGCAAGAGATATACCCTGTGCTCTGTTACTGTCAGGGGCCTGAGCAGCAGCCAGGCAGCCAACAGCTGCCTGTGGTCCTAATCAAGTAGAGTTGTCTGATTGAGGAACAGGGCCCAGCTGGTGTATATAAGGGCTGGGTCCCTGAACTACAGGGTAGTAGTCTGCTGCTGCCATTTGAGTTGCTGCCTGAAACATCTCAGAGGTAAGGGCTGGGGTGATGGGGAAGGAGGAGGCCCCAAGGTCCTGGGCATGACCTGAAACTGCACCCTGCCAGGGATGGATGGTCTGGTGGAGCTACCTGTGGCAGGGTAGTTCCCCAGAAATGCTAGGCCAGTTACCTCCCCAGTGAAAGGCAAGTAGGGATGCCTGAAAACTGAAGCCCCCACATCCCTGGTGGGTGAGACCTGAGGGGGGGGGAGCCCAAGCTCATTGTAAACACTGAGGCAGGGTGCAGGCTGGTGGAGGGACCTGCGGCAGCACCCAGAATAGCAGAAGAGTCTGGGTGCATTACGAAGCTGGGTGTTAGGCTCCAGGGGGGAACAGGACTTGTAGGCCTAGTCCCATTATGAGAGGCTTGGAGCCCAGTGAGGGGGCCTGGGACCCAGAGATATAGAGAGTAGGTGATGCCCAGGGACAGGGCTTGGAGTCTGAGGATGGGGCTTAGAGCTGGGAGAGCCTTGTGGCCTGGAGATGGGGCTTGGAGCCCAAGGATAAGGCCTGGAGATAGAGGATAGAGCTAGTAAGTCCAAGAACGAGGCTGGGTTTCAGGCCATAATGATTGTGAGGCGGGGTGTTAAGCCAGGAAACATCTGCGAGGCATGGGACATGTCAAGGTGAGGTTGGAGTGTGTACAGAGGCCCTTTTCATCAGGGCAGGTATCAGGCAGGAGGCTGCCCTTTTTAACATCAGATAATCAGAACATCAAAGCATGGCAGGTGAGATGGGCAGGTGGCTAGCTTGGAAACAAGTGGGCAGACCTAGATTGAGATGGGTCCTGGGGGGCCTGCTTGTTACAAGAACACAGAAGGCAATCTAGTTACAGATGATGCAGAAAAGGCTGAAGTACTTAAGGCCTTTTTTTCCTTCCGTTTTCACAAATGGGGGCAGCTACCAAATGACAATTGCAGCTGCCAGCAAAGATGGGGAAAGAGACAAACTGCCTAGAGTAGCAGAAGAACCAGAGATTACTTGGAGCAGCTGGATGCTTTCAAATCAGTAAGGCAGAATAGAATGCAACCTATGGTACTGAAGGAATTGGTTGAGGTACTTTCAGAGAAATTAGCTATCCTCTTTGAGAACTTGTGGAGGTCAGTGAGGTCCCAGATGATTGGGGGGGGTGGGAAAGCAAATATAGTGTCCATCTTTAAGAAAGGGATGACAGGGGGATCTGGGGAATTACAGACCAGTCACCCTGACCTTAATATCTGGAAAGATATGGTCCTCAAGAAATCTATTGTGAGGCACCTAGAGAAGAACAAGGTGATCAGGAGCAGTCAGCATGAATTCACCAAGAGCAAATTGGGCCTGACCAACCTGATTCCCTTCTGTGATTAAAATGACAGGCTCTTTTTTGATGTGGGGAGAGCAGTGGATACGATGCACCTTGTCTTTAGCAAGGCTTCTGATACTATTTCTCACAATGTTCTCATTAACAAGTTAAGGAAATACAAAATAGATGAAAATATGTAATGTAGATATATAACTAGTTGGATCATCGTGCTCAGTAAGTAGTCCTCAGTGGCTCAAGTTCTAGTTGGGAGGGAGTATCGAGTACGGTTCCCCAGGGGTTTGTTCTGGGTCTAGTATTGCTCTATATCTTCATTAATGATTTGGATGATGGGATTAAGTGCATGCTTATCAAGTTTACAGTGGAAGATACTCTGGAGGGCAAGGCCAGGATCCAGAGTGACATAGAAAGACTGGAAAATAGTCCTCAATCAATCTGATGAGATTCAACAAGAACAATGCAAAGTCCTGCACTTGAGAGAGATTAACTGCATGCACAAATGCAGACTAGGGTATAACTGGTTAGGTTGGAGTACTGCAGAGAAGGACCTGAAGATTACAGTAGACCATAAAATAAACATAAGCCAAGATTGTGCTCTTGGTTGGAAAAAAGCCAACAGTCTACTGGGTTGTATTAACAAGAGTATCTTGCAAGTCAAGGGAAGTGATCCTTCTGCTCTATTCAGCACTGGTGAGGCCTCACCTGGCTTCACCAATTTTGGGCCCCAAACTTTAAGAAAGATGTGGACGGATTCAAAAGTGTCCAAAGGACAGTGACAAAGATTACTTAAAGCCCTGAGAAGTTAGATCTAGGAAGAAAGGCTGAAAGGACTGATCTTATTTAATCTGGAGATGGAAAATCTGGCTGAAGGATGATTATAAGCAAGATGGAGATACAACTGCCGAGCAAAATCTAAGGGACAAGACTAGGAGTTAATGGCCTTAAATTGCAGCAAAGGAAATTTGGGTTGAAGATTAGAAGAACTTTCTGACCATGAGGGTCTAGCATTGGAAAAGGCTACCTAGAGAAGTCACAGAACCTCCATCCTTGGCAATTTTCAAAAGCAGATTGAACTGATACTTGGTTGGGATGGTTCAGACCAGGACAATCCTGCCTTGAGTAAGGGGCTGGGCTAGATCTCATGATGTCCCTTCCATCTTTATTCTCCTATGATTCTATGATCAAGGGCCTCAGACTCGTACCTTTAGAAGATTCCTTAGGTTGATGCGGCCTTTACATAGAAAGCCTGTAGGCTTTAAGAGCGATGCTTATAAAAAGTGCTCATTGTGCTTATCACATAACTAAGATTTGCACCACCTGTGTTTAGGGTATGATGCTAAAGGGAGAGATCTGGTCTTATTTCTGTTGGTGAATTCCCAGTAACATGCCTGGTGCTACATACATAATGTAATGGCACTGAAAATATGGCGCTGAGTATGGACAGAAGACTTAATTATATTAAGTTTAAAGAGGAGGAGGAGACACATCACACCAACTATTCCACAGTAACTGTTTTGTATGTTTGCTACTATCCTGCAATAAGTGGAAGATGATAAACTGAGGGAACATGGCTGAGACAAGACAGGAGCAGATGCATGAAACAATTACCTTGGATGGTTGATGTGCAGTAAATCTCCCTTCCATCTCCCCCTAGCTGTACATACAGTGCCTCTCTCTCATCCCAGACACGTGCCATGCTCCTGCAGCATGGGAAACCCATCTCTTGCCTTTGTTGCATGCAGTGAGAGCAGCCTGGCCCTCTCCCCTGCCATGTATGCAGCACAGACACCCTGCTCCCCACTGCACACCCAGCTTGGGCCCCCTCTCACTGTGCTGTCCTGTGGCCGCAGGAAGTAGAAGCTGGAGAAGGAAGAGGGAGCCCAAAGAATCCAGCAGGGATTGGGGAGTGGCAGTTATGCAGGAGCCTGAGGGTGACACTCCAACCCTTTTGGAGGCTACATATGCCCTGCATCCTGTTAGATGGGCAGCTCTGCCCTAAGTTATATTTTTAACTAATTACAAATTGTAATGTAACAGAACATACAGAGTGTGCATGCTTGCTTTACCTGGACTGTAGACCCAGAGAGTGAATATAGTGTCTTTGGTATTAATCCTTTGGTATGTTTTTCCATTTGGCGAAAACTCTACTTCAAATGTTTTTATGCATCTAGAAAAGAAATCATGACTTCATGACTACAGTGGTGGCCATAGAAAGGCCATGTCCTATTCCACCATGTCTCTTCAGTGAGGAGAAATGGTTGGTGTTACACACCTAGCAGGAAATCCTGCACTGCATCATCCCCTCCAAATACAAGCTAGCACTCGCTGTTAGGCAGTGGGTGTGGTGACAAAAGCCCACAGAAGAATGTCAAGGCTGACTGACAAATAATGCAATGTGTCCTGAGCATCTGAAACGCATTGCACAGCATGACAAATAATGCAATGTGTCCTGAGCATCTGCCACGCATTGCACAGCCCCTTCCACTCATACTGAAACCAGGAGGAGAGTCGAGGCTTGGCATTTTAGTGAAGATGTTTTACATCATGCAGGCTGAGGCCCATGAAGCAGGCATGCTGGTCCTGACTGACTAGTTAAAAAGGATGCTTTAAGAGTTGGGGTGTTTACTGTGCCTCTGATCTGCAGGGCAACCCACATCAGTGAGTTTCTGGGCTAGAATGGGTGCAGATTGTCTGCTGATGCCTATTGGATGCAGTTTACCATCTCTGTCCCTGCAGATAGTATCACTTATGTTTTGCAGGGATAGTTTTGACTGGATTTGGCACGAGCTTTCTTTCACACAGGAGTGTTTGTGGAGCCTCTCTTCCAGAGGAACAAGGCCTCTTGATTTGCCATTGTGGCAGCCTGCAAGGTAGAAAGCTGATCCCCCAACTGAACCAGCAAAATAGGCAAGAGGCTATTCAGGGTACCTTCATGGCAGATACTGCACATGGGTTCTAATGATTCTACACTGGCTGAGGCCACAGTGCATACAAGTTGCATTGGGAATAAAACCTGATGGTTGGAAAGGGATAATGCCTTGTCCTTAGCTGTGGCATGCAGGCAGGCAGATTTTGCTTAGCAGCTTTGTCTTAATTTTGCCAGGCTCCTCCTAACATCAGATCCCTGTCCTGCTAACTTTGGTTAGCTCCATTTCTAAAAAAGCACGTACTTTGAATCCACATGGTCATCCCACAATACAGCAACTTGCTCCTTTGTGAGTGGTATAAGGTGAACACCTGTTACCTGTCAAAAAGAGATGTCCATGTAAGAACACAGGGCCCAATAAGTTTGAAGGCCCTACTCTAAATGATCAGAGCTAGCAGATCATGTTTATCCTTAAAAGGGTTGGCCTGGATATTTTGAAGTAAAACAATAAAATACTAAATAAATAAACTAAGTAAAAGTAGATAAAACTTAGTTCCCCATATTTAGAAACCTATGTAAGTATCCTAATACCCTCCCTTACTCCCCCCTGCCCACCAGTTTGAGTTCTCAGCAACTCTCATTGTATTCATTGGAAACTTTTTTAGTAGCTTACTTTCTATATAGAGGAAATAAAACAGACCACTTATGCTGCCCAGGATAGAGTTTTGGAACTACATCTTATGCCCTCTTCAACCAAATTCTTGACCCTACCATTCTGCACCTAGTCTTGCAAGTCATTCAGCATTCTCAAATCCTCCTACTAACTCCACAGGAAGCTGAAAGCATCTAGCCCAACTTTGGACATACTCATTATTTAGGCTTGCGCATCAGAAGACACTGATACGGTGTCTGATCCACTACGCTCACTATTCCATAATGTAGCTATAAAAGATGACTACATTGCTTGCTGAAAAGTTTTATTTTTAATCATTTTGCTGTTAGAACTGATAAGATTATAAAGTATTGTCCTTACAGTACACTAAAGTTGCAGATTTTGATTTTTAGTTCAGTTGATATGATCTGCCATCTCTTGTGGGGGGGGGGGGTTATACTGGAATGCAGTTCATGGAATCTAGCTATCAAATGAAGTTGGTCTCCCTGCTTTAAATAAGCCTTCTGTGCGGCCTTTAAAAAAGTATATGGTGATAAAATAGAACTTGAATATTTGCAGGGCTAGGTTGCGTGCTCACTGTGAATATGAGGATTTATGAACTATGGAATTGTAGAACCACAGCAAATAGCTGTTTAAGACCACTGAGATGCTCCAATTGTTTGCTGTGGCTCTTCAAAGGGCACTGCTTCTCTGATCAGTTCTGTAGGACCAACTATGAATGACTTGGGTTTCACTGTACATCGTACCCATCAGTAACTAACCTCTCCAATGAGATGCCAATAGACAGTATGGGACCAGTTTCTAACTTGGCCACATAGCAATGAAACATGATACATACTTGGTTGGGAACAGAGCGAGGTCTTGCACAAACATGGATCAAGAAGACAGATGGAATGGGGAGTTCCTTCTTCAAGAGCAGGTGGCCATCTTCAGGAAACAGGAATGGTCCTGTCACTGCTGGGTCCTGCAAAGTGAAATGGAAGTGTTAAGAAAAGAGATGAGTCTTCATAGCTATTTATTATGGTAGAAATGTCTTCGCCTTTGTCTAGGCCACGAGTGGCCAACCTGTAGCATGTATGTCACCAGTGCCACAGGCAGCTGCTGTGTGTGGCATGCAAGCCCCAAGTGCTCAGTAAAGGGAGATGCTGGAGGCAGGAAGCAGAATGCTCCATGGGGCACAGTGGGGGTTAAGACATTGCTGCAAGTGCAGGTGTCAGCTGCCACCACCAAAAGCCAGATTAGTCCTTCCCAGGCCCTGCAGCTGACACTGAATTCAAGGCTTTAGGTTCTTGCTGCACCAATTGTGGAGCCCTAGAAGGGTTAGCCTTTCAGGACTTCTGGCAGATCTAGAATGAATGGCTGACAGCAGAAGAGAGCAAAATCTGCAAAGACGTCATCCTATAAGTTAAATGTCTCTCTATGGTGGCTGGAGAGCTGCAAAGAGGAAGCTTGAGACATGAGTGTATGTCAGTTTGCCCTGCATTTTATTTTTCCCCCTTGTCAGCATTACACTTTTCTGGATTTAATAATCCCACACACAACCTCCTTCAACCTTTTCAGCTCCTTAGCTGCTACTATAAATGCCGATGTCTTGACCCACCATATACATCATACCTCAGCATCCCTTAGTTGTTGGAACTGCTTTACAGAAGGGAAGTCGGGGCTTCCTAGTTTCTTCCATTCCAAATAGGGATTGGTAAGATTGTTGTCTAGACAGTATGTCACATACACAAGCTCTTTGGAGACACAAAAGAAATGCATAAAGCTCCAGATCCAGATTTGAAGACCAAAGGGTAAATGTTTTTAAAAAACAAATAAGCCCCAAGTTAGGAAGTGACTTAAACTGAGTTTCTCTGAAAGTCAATGAGACCTAGCATAAGATTTTTCACAAAGGCTTAAGATGAAAAATTCTAAAACAGTGTGCTTAAAGTTATGCTCCTAAATTTAAAAAAAAAATAAAAAAAAAAAAAAATTTTGTTTTGTTTTTACAGGGGCTGAACACTGAGAGATCCTGTTGGAGCCAATACCAGGAAATCCCATAGAATGTGTAATATTTAACCTGAAGGGAATGTGCTTCTTTTAAAGCAGAGGCTTGCAACCTTTGTAGACTCGTCTAATCTCTCATTAGACTCAAGGCACCCCTTGGAAAATGCCAGCTCTTAGTTTTCACTTGTTTTTTGACTACAAAAAACGAATAACCAGTTTTGTTACAACGAGTTCAAAAAAACCCCAATAGGTCAAATGTTTTTAACGCTATGGATTCCTATTTGAAATCTCTGGATTTATCTTGTGAATAATGTTTGTACACCTAACAGTGCTAGTACCTGTGGCACCTTTGAAAGGATCTCAAGGCATTCCAGGGTGCCATGGCACTGGCTGAGAATCACTGTTCTAAAGGGTGCAGGTGCAGTGAAGTTTCTGAAAGGATGGCATCCACAGCAGACATTAATGGGTGGAGACAACTCTAGGAATGGAATCCAAACTCTTTTCTCATGTGGACATATTACAGACCAGAAAATCGGGGCTTGCCAGGCATGGTTTTTAGTCGCAAGCAGAATTTCCGTGGGCATGTACAAATGAGTGTTGTTACTTCAATCAGGAAGTTTAAAACCCAAAAAACATTCAGTGCAAACTTACTGCTGGAGATCCATGACATAAAATGCTAAGCACTGTGTGTTTACCTGCACATTTGGGGAACTGGGTCATGTTCAGTGTTACAGCACTGATATTCAATGATGTATGGTTATCATCACTAGCATAAATCAGTATGGTAGCTTGCCAGCTATCTGAAGATGGTAGCTCAGCAGGGGTATGTAGAGTGGCTAGTACTCCAACGGTGCTGTTGTTACCATTTTTGCCTTTGCTGTTGTATACATCTGCAAAAATTTGTGTTTCCCCTGAAAAAGTAGAAATACTCTTTTACCACAAAGCTAATTAGACCAGCGTCTGACACATGAGAAGGTGAAACATGTAACTAACTGTCTGTGTTGGACTACAGGTTACTTAATGACACCAGCATAAAGTTGGAGTAGCACTAGTTAAATCAACAGACTTACATCACTAACTGAAAGCAGTCCTTTATTTTGTAAAACACTCTAGCATGGCATGGATCTCATTTTACTCTGATTATCAAGTACCTAGCAGTGTGGGCCTCCCAGTTGCTTTTCTTTCAGGCACTGCTGGGTTGCAAGTGTTTTAATGACAGTTTGCATCACTGGGACTTCAGCACATGTGATTCAAGGTTAACATAAACACACTTGATGAGGCTTAGAAGAATTTAGAGATGCATTAAAAAGAAATGAAAATCTTAACCAGACAGTGACCAAAGGCCTTTCCAATCCACAAATGGGGAAAAGGAAGATAGTAACTGAGGTGGCAGATGGAGGTTTAAATAGATATAAGAAGATTTTCACTGTGCTGAAGGGAAAATAGACTACAAACACTCCAATATCAAAGTTATTTGTCTCCAATGGGAAGTGGTGGAAACTCTATTCTTTGTGAGACTGACCAACTAGTGAATTTAGAGCTAGGAAGAGTCTTAGAACAGATGACATGATGGAGTTCATGCATCTAATTTTAATGAGAATAGGACCTGGAATAAGTGACTTCTTTCTAAACACACATTTACCATACCTAACAATGCCAGAAGGCCCATTGCAGTCAACACAGGCTTCCTCACCATCTGGACATGTGGTGGTTTTGTGTTGTTCATTTGAAATCGTGCAGTTAGTGTCCTCTGGGTAAAGTAATGGGGGTAGTAGTTCATGAAGGCATTATCATTACTCAGCAAGGTATAGTTAATAGTGCTGTTGGCCTTGGAAATGAGCAGGTTTTGATGTTGGATGATTATCTGCAGTGATGGAGAAGATGAAATTTCTTCTTAAAAAAATTTAATATTTTTTTCTGATTACTTAACTGAAAAGCTAATGAAGTTAGGAAAAACTAATGAAGTTCCTATTTTCTACTGAACACTGGATATAGAATGCATAGTTTTGAAGCTACTGGACCATTTCCTTGTGGGATCAATTTAACTTGCTATTATACACTGGAAACAGCGAGAGCACTCTTGCCTCTTTGCTATTTTGGTGAAGCTAGCTATGGGGAAGTAGTTTAATTCATGAGCAGCTCAAGTGTATGCAAGGTGAACAGAGGAACTTGCAATGTATGTGCAACAAAAGCAACAGCACACAACATTTTGGCTTCTAAATTCATGAAGGTCTTAGAGTGGCTTTGGGTTATGTAAGACCTGGCTAAAATTAGGTCATTAGTAGGATTGCAGCAATACATGTAATCAGATGTAAAGGATTAAACCTACATATGAGGACAGAAGCAGAGCAGCAGGTTCCTTGTGCAGAGCTTTATGTTCTTACAGAGGAAGAGTTTTATAAACATGCCATGCAAGGAGGAAGATGCAGGCATTGTTAGCTGGAGGTCCGTACAGATAGCTGTAGCAGATTTCTGAAGAGTTTTGTGATCTATTATATTTACAGTGAAAATTTACACGTACTATCACAAAGTGTAGAGTTCAGGGAGGATGGAAACGAGAATACTTAAGAATACATTAATGGACTTCTAATTCTATTCATTATAAACAGTTCAAAGGACTGGACTAGCAGTCTGGATTTATACCAGGCAAGTACGTCATCCTCCTCCCAACAGGACTACTGTTTTGATTTTTATGGAATTACTTTGAATTTGTTCCAGTGTCGTAGCATACAGGTTTTAGCCCCTGGTTTCTGTTCTTTGTTGAGTGACATTAGGCACTTCTACACGTGCTATTAATGCACTGAAAGCTTACTGCACAATAAAATACCATGCAGCAAGCTTTCGCTGGGAGTGTGTCTACACATGTGCCTGTTGGGAGCAAATCTGCTCCTGATAAGAGCAGTTCAGTGCAGGGCTACTCTGCTTTGCTCTGCTCCCCTACAGCAGCCAAAGCAAACTCCAAGCTCCCCTGGGTGCCAGCCCTGGGCTGGCAGGGGGCACCAGGGTCAGGCCTGGGCTCTGGAGGGAGCTGTCCTGCCTCTGGGGCAACTGCCTCCCAGCCTTGCACCCCTGACCTGGGCAGCTGCCTGCTGCCCAGCCCCTGCTCCAAGATAGGAGCAAGGGCTGGGACACTGTCCCCTGCCCTGAGTCAGAGTGGGGGCCAGGCAGCAGGCAGTTATCGGGGCAGGGGATGGCCCCAGTCCAATCTTGGAGTGGGGGCTGGGCAGCAGGCAACTGCCAGGGGTAGGGAGTGGGAGCCCACCCTCTGCTTCAGTCAGCCAATCAGAGCAGGGGACTGGGAAGCAAGCAGCTGTCCAGGAAGGGGACAGTTCTCTTGCTCCCTGCTGCCTGGGCTGACGGAGCAATTTGTAGTAAATGCTGCGCACATATAAATGGTAATGCTTTACTGTGCAGTAGATTAGTCTACTGTGCAGTAAAGCACATCATGTAGATGTGTCCTCACTCATGCAGTGCTTCATTTTATTCTTTTGTAAAATGATGAAGAATGCAACAAGGAGTTGGATCAAAGATATAGGCCAGAACAGAATTTGGTGAAGTCTTGAAGGCAGATACTCTGGAATTTGAAGCGTAGAACTTTGACTTCAACATCAGAACTGTAAAACATTGGCACCCAATCTTCTGGAATGAACCATGGGCTGGGTGACTAGCATGGGGTCGGCTGAGAGCCTGGATCACGTGTGGGGTCAGTACATGAAATTGATCTATGGCCTTGATCCTGCACTGGCCCGATTCAGTTGTATGTTAGCCTAATCCAGCCATGCACTGATAATATGGTCCTGCATGCCACATTGTATCTGGCTTGCAGGGCTCCCCATGGATCCAGAAATTGGAAGCAACTATTTATTTATTTATTTATTATTCTTCAAATAATTATTTGAATAATTATATTTTCATTTCAAATCATTAATATTTATTTGAATCTAAGTCGACCTTGAATTTATGATGAACCCCCAAGAAAAATATTCTAGAAATAAAATGTTTATAAATTTATTACTGGCAGGCTCCATCCATGTTCTAATTTAGGGCAGTGAGCATGGCCACAGCCCAGCACCCGTAGTAGCTGTGAGGGTTATGTGCTGCTGCTATGGGGCGGGGCTTATACTCAGTGTCCCAGGCTGCAGTGTGGACAGTCTGCTGGCTGAAGTAAGGGTAAGGGGGCAGGGAGAGAGGCTGATGCAGGGAGCAGTGACTTTGTGGGTGGGGAGCAGGGTACTGGGGGGAAGAGGCTGCAGGATGGAGATGCCAGGGTACAAAGGCAGTGTGAGTTGGGGGGCCAGGCAGCAGCTGCAGCTATGGTCCCAATGCTGGGTAGGGGCTGAAGCCTGAGCCACAGCTGCCCCCTGCCCCCGCTATCCTTGTTTGTGATTCTAAAATGGTGAAAAAAACCTTGTCTTAGAATTGAGTAAACAAAGTAATGCTGCCTCCATTCCCCCGCTGACAAATTTCCAGACCCCTGGGAGCCCCATGGGTCAGACGACACAGTTCTGCAGGCCAGATATGTCCCATGGGTGGGGGCTGAGCATCCCTGACATAAAATATACAAGAGACCTGAATCTAATAACCCACATTTATGTTGTCCTATTTCAAAACAACCACAAATGTAATTAATTCTATCCATCTCAATTTTGTCAGGAACCTATTTAAAAATATTTTAAAGTCAGACTTGGTATGTCTTCTTGTGGCTCAAGGCTGACTTTTTTTTTTTCTCCCTCAAAGCTACTAGATACAAAAAGTCTTAAGAACATGGTGATATTTTATCATTAAATGTGAACCATGAAGGAATGATGAGTAGTCATTCTTTAACTGACCTAATGCTTTTGTATCACAGATATTGCATACTATAGTGAAAAAGGATCACCAGTCAGTCTAATACATTTATGAGGAGGTTGTAGAAAGTTCATATACATTTTGATGAAGTAAAGTCTGCTGGAGACAACAGGTAGCTTGTAGACTGCTGCTCTGAAAAGTTCAGTGTTAGCTCTAACCAAAAGAAGCCTCCATAGTAAATAAGACTTGCCTGTGTGCACTTCTGACTGCATTGTGAGAGGCAGGATATTATGTAAACATCAAAAAAGTAGTAGGAAGTAAGCTTGCTTTGGAATGAAGGTATGAAATTCTAGGTATGTCTACACAAGGCACTTAACTGCGCAGTAGCCTAGGTAACATGCACATGCTTACTACGCAGTAAACCTCGCTAATCGCAAATAAATGTACTACCTGAAAATGCAAGTAGCGAGTACTTTATATTAGCAATGACGCAGTAGTGCTTGTGTAGATGACTAACCGGGAGCAAATCTGCTCCCAATCAGCCATCCACTGAAGGGCAGGAGCTCCAAGCCCCCTGCTCCAGGATCATGATTGGGAAGCAGGGGCTGGGAGATCCTTATCTCCTTATGACTCCTATTCCAGCCCCAGGTAGGAGACGGCTGTCTCCTGGCCCGGTGGTCTCTGTCAGCCCCTTTAGGTGATATCCTAGGGTACCTAGAGCTCCACCTGGTGGTGGCAGGGGCCCACTGCAGGGCCCCAGGAAGCGGGAGCAGTTTGCTGCCATTAGCAGCAAATCTCCTCCCACTTCCCTGCATGTGTAGATTGCTGCCCAGGAGGATTTACTCACGAGTTTACTTGTGAATAAACTGATCCCAGATCCAATGCATGTGTAGGTGCGTCCTCTGACTGCAACAGTCCATGACTTATAAATCCACCATGTCATTCATCCAGGCAAAGGCAACACATAGTGGGGGCACGGGGGGGAGGGGGGGAGGCTATGTGCGCCCC